TCTCTCTCTCTCTCTCTCTCTCTCTCTCTCTCTCTCTCTCTCTATTTAGTACAGGGTGTACAGGGTCTCACTACACAGATCAGACTCGTAGTGATCCTCCTGTTTTCAGCCTCCCAAGCTCTGGGGTTACAGGCGTGTGCCACCACGCCCAGTCTTCCAGTTTCTCTTAGTCTTGTTGGGTCTTTATCTGCCCATCTTTTCAATGTTGGTTTTGCTAAGAGTTTTGTGTTTAACTTTCTAATTTTCTTATTCAGTTATGGTTTCAGCTAATTCTGGGTTTTGATAGCTTATAAATCTTAATCTGTAGACCCCCCTCACCCCCTCACTCCCCAGCTTGAAAGGATCAAGTATTTGTATTAAATGTTTCACTGGTGCTTTAAACATACCTTGTGCCTGATGTATGATAGATGCTCAGCAGATATTTAAATGAATGGTCAAGTATCTTTCTTGGATATAGGGGATTAATGGCTTTCAGTGTCTACTGTGGATGTGTATATGTGCAAGTCACTGAGGTTCACTCAGCTTATCCTCGAGTTCATTACGTTCCTTTTGTCATTACTTTAATAGCTTATTGTACTTTTGTCATAGGGAAGAGAAAGAAATAGTCTGTTTTCATTACCATAGCTTACTAAAATTGTGGGCTTGAGATGTCCTAATGGATCTTCATAACGAAGTGTATGTTATCTGTGGATTTATCTGCATTTCTAATCCATTAATGTCGTGAATAATGGGAAAAGAGTGTGTTCTGTGCCTTTAAAAAAAAATTTACCATAGCTTGTATTTTCCTTTTTGAGAATTGGTCAAAGTGCTGATGGGAAAGGGGGAGTTGGTGATATAGGAATCTCTGGAAGTAATTGAGAAACTCCTATTCTTTTCACATCATCTGTTGACAGAGCTTGGCCCTTGGCAGGTGGTGTGACATATGTAAAGGCACTCAATTTAGAGGCAAATATTGCAGGTGAATTTTTAATTACACACAAAGGGTTTCAGTTAAACATTTTATAACGTTTTAGAAATAAAATAACTTCATTTTATATGAGGTGGTTTAAGTTCTTTCATTCATTCTGGTACAATGAAAAAAACTAGAGTGAAGAACCTATTAAAAGCATTGGTTGTGGGCTGGCGAGATAGCTCGGAGGCCTAAAGTGCCTGTTTAGGCAAGCTTAGGCAAGCCCAGGGACTACGTTTTGTTTGTTTGCTTCCCGGCACCACGTGCTTTGCCAGCTCTGCCCTCAGGGTGGGCTGAACCAGCCAAAGTCGGGCTGTAGTGCCACATATCTGTCCACGAGGCCGAGCTGTGTAGTGAGACCCTGCAACAACCAAATACATTTTAAAAAATGGTTGCATTAAAAATATTCTGTGTTTTTGGATTCTTTATAATGTTGGATGTCATCACAAACACATACCCACCCACTCCGTCCTAGCCCCCACCACTAATACTGAGAGGAATAAGAAAAATACTCATTAGGGAGTCAGCATAAACTTTTTCTTTTAGAAAGTTATTTTGGGCACACTCAGGAGGCTGAGGCAGGAGGATTGCTGTGGGTTTGAGGCCAGCCTGAAATGCATTGTGAAACCTTGTCTCAAAAACACACATGCGTGCACATGCATGAAAGTTATTTTTGAGTATGACTTAACTAACCACCATTATCAACTGGGAGAGTAAGAATTAAAACTTGAAATAGAAATGTTTTAAAATGCAGATTTTTCTGTGCAGCTATTGTTTTGACAACCACATCATTCCTTCTTTCTTTTTTAGGCTCTAGAATCCAAGTTAGCAGCTTGCAGGAATTTTGCAAAGGACCAAGCAGCACGAAAATCTTATATTTCAGGGAATGTTAACTGTGGAGTGATGACTAGCAATGGCACAAAGTTCTCTCGATCAGGGCACACATCTTTCTTCGACAAAGGGTAAGTCCTGGACTTCTTAAGCGATCAGTTTTGGAGTAGTAATGTTTCAGATTATAAATTGAGGTTACTAAAATTTAAGATAATTTCAGTTTGATATACTTACCTGAAGCCTCTTCTCATTCAAATCTTGGGGGACAGAAGTCTGTTGTTGTCTTTCGATCCCCATGGAGTCTGTTGCCCCAGGAAACTTTGTTCTGGGAGCAGACTCTTACAAGGCAGAAGTGCTGGACTCAGGAGGTCCTCCTTGGCTGGAATGTGCTTACAGCTTGGTATACTTGCTCAGCAAGTCTTTTGAAAGCAGAAGAGAGCACTGTAATTATGCATATTTAAGCTCTGTAGCAAACCCTTTATCTGAAGTTGTTAGAAATATACAAAGCCCTGAAGTATTTAGATATTCTCAGTGTAGGAGATACAGCTTCAGTGTGAAGTGAAGATATTTTTTGGATGATTGACATTAAAAAAATCACTTTAAGATTGAAGTAGTGATATATCCTTAATGCAAAAAATCCCAGTTAGTATAGAAGCTTGTGAGTTGAAAATTCACTGTTGTCTGTTTTCACACTGTTTTTTGTATTCCTTATTCTTAAGGATGTAAAATCATATTTTTATGCATCTGCTATAAACTATGTTGTAAACTTTATGCAACACCTAGGATTTACTTTCAGTATTGTTCTGCAACATGTCTATTATGACTTGCATCGTCAGTATCCTCCCACATCAGGACTTGTAGTTCTACCTGAGATATATAT